TTTTTGATTCAGTATAGGCTGTTCTACCCACGTATGACAAAAAATGCGGTAGTCGCCAAACACCCTGTATATATAGTGAGAAGCATGTGAGGGTGAGCTCCCCACCAGGTACCTCTGAGAGCCTGGATGATCTGAAGTATACGTTTGCCTTTATTAATGATGTATGACATGTGTGGTTTACCAGATAGCTTGGGGTCGAGCAATACACCCAGAAAGCGAACCGTAGGAGATGGTAAAATGAGTTGGTTCCGAAATGAGATGGAGTAGTCCATTTGTGCTAAAGACCTCTTATTGGAAAAAATTATAAGTTGCGTTTTAGTCGGGGAGATGTCGAGGCCCCGTTCCAGTAAGAACGACTCTAGGCCCTGAAGGGAGAGCTCAACCGAATTGATTGCGGCTTCGGTATCCTTAAGCGAGGAAAAGATGACAATGTCATCGGCAAATTGCAGAAGCTCGGTATCAGAGTCGAGTGCTTCATTGACGTTTCTGAGGTAAAAGTTGAAAAGCGTCGGGCTGAGGACAGAGCCCTGCGGGGTACCTTTCAGCGTCGATCTTGGCTCGGAGATAGAACCTTGGCTAACAAATTGCACTGAGCGATGAGAGATAAGATTAGATATGAAAGAAAGTAAGCGAGGGGGGGAAGTCCAATTTGCAAAGATCTTGAAGGAGAACATGAGGAAGAACGTTATCGAAGGCCGATTTTATGTCAACAAATACCGCTACAGTGTCTTGTTTGACCAAGAAACCTGCATGGATACTAGCAACAGGAGCGACCAAATTATCCTGACAAAGAAACTTTCTGAAGCCAAATTGATTATCAGGAAGTAATGGCATGTCTAAGATAGGAGATTCAGTGAGCCAATATACATGCGATTTAGAATTATTCTCTCCATGATCTTCAATGAACAAGAAGTGAGGGAGATGGGTCGGACACCACTATTGTTAGGTTTTGGTAAGAGATAGATCAAAGAGTGGGACCATTGAGGGGAAAAGATAGCGCAGCGGAAGATGTTATTGTAGATATCTAGAAGGGATAGGAGAAGTTCTGTAGGAAGAGCTTTAATGATACGATAGTCTATCCTGTCGAGACCTGAACTAGAGGAGGCTTTAACTGATTGAAGGGCCACATGAAGCTCATTGTAAGTGAATTGATCATCCAGCCAGGCCAAACCGCCACGGTATGGCGAGGGGAATTCAGGAGTCGGAGGAGGACATGAAGGAGGACAGAGTTTACCGATAGTTTCCTTGATCGTATGTGATATATCCGCGTTTCTGTTCTGAACCGGAGAGTTAGCGGGTAACAGTCGGCGGTTACGAAAACGCTTGAGCATGCGCCAGATATCCGCCGTAGGAGTTTTGTCTCTCATTGAGAGAATTGCAAAAGGATCTCCAATTATTGCGCTTAGCCTTACGAAGAGTCTTGCGAGTCTGTGTTACTACGGAACGGTAGTAGACGTAGTTGTCCCAGGAAGGATGCGATTTAAAGTTCTTAAGGGCGTCACTGCGGTTCTTCACCGCAGAGGAGCACTCAGGAGTCCACCAAGGAGCCGGTGGAAGGCCTTTGCTGGTAAAAGATGCGCGGACTGTCTTAGTTGAAGGAGGCGGTTTCGAGGGAGAGAAATGTTCAAAGCTGGTTGATATGAGTTCCATAAAGGTATTGTATTGGGAAACAGGATCATTAGGATTGATATCTTTGATAGTTTGAGAAATAGAGTTCGCCATGTTGTGCAGTTTTGACTCTACCTCACTCCACTGTTCCTTGGTGAGTTTAATTTTACAGGAGAAAACAGAAGAGGTACGGACTAGGCAGTTAACACTAACCTCCACCGGGTGATAGTCGCTACCAAGAAGGTCAGGCAGAATCCGGGTGTCGCACAGCGGGGAGATGTGCGAGGATGCAATAGCAAGGTCTAGAGTAGAAGAAGAGGGGGGGGAAAGGAAATGTAAGTAGGAGATGGAGGGTTAAGGATTATTAGGTGGTGGTCATCGATACCCTGGGCAAGTAAACGCCCGGTAGGGCTAGTGTACGTGCCGCCCCACATAGGATGATGTGCGTTCATATCTCCGAGTAAGATAGCGGGTTCGTGACTATTTAAGAAAGAAGTGATGGAAGAGATAGTTGCGGCTGAAGTGGGCACATTAGGGTGTCGATAGGCTCCAATCAGAGTTAGACATGAATTATTTAAATTAAGTGTTATGCCCAGCGCTTCAAGGGAATCATCAACTATGGCAGAAAGATCAATGGGTGAATAAGTAATCGGATTACGAATAAAGACCATGTCTCTAATATTCGCCATATTAGAGTCAATCCGTAAGCTGTCAAAGCCACGTATGCGAAAATCGTGTCTCTGGCTTACGCATGTTTCAGCAAGAAAGAAGATGTCAATAGATTTAGCCAGTTTTTCAATATCTCCTTTCTTTCCGAGGGCGCCACGGCAGTTCCAATACGCTATTTTTATTGATTGCAAATTAGATATAGTTGTTTAAGAAGGTTTTGAGCGAATCGAGGCTGTTTTGGAATTCGGTTCTGAAAATTGCTGTGAGGAGCGGAATAGCAGAGACCTATAACGATAACGAAGTACCGAAATAATATTGATAGTTTTTCGGTTTTTTTTTCATACCGGTATGGCAAACCGAAATGATAAAATACCGGTAAAACATGATACCGATATGGATATATATCGGTTCGAATACCGGTATAATATCGGTTTTATATTGATATCAACGTTATTAAATAATAATATTATTTATTTATTGCCTCGGATTAATTCAAGTAAGGATCAAATTCATATAAAATTATGTTTGATTTTCAAAATAAAATAATTATTATGATTCGAGGGGTAATTTGTCACTTCGTAAAATTTGTGTTTACAGTGATGAAAAAGTTTTAGTTTAAGGGGATGCTAAACCGATTATTAGATTAACTCATTACAATTCGTACCTAGCCGGAGTCACCAGTTTTTAATTTGTGATTACTGCTTCCGCGTTATCGCTCGAAAAAACGCGAACGCTCGGAATTAAGAAGTTTATCGGATTGTATTTGATCATAGGCATTGTTTTTTTTTTCCTAAATTTGATCAGTAGCGTGTGTAACCTTAAAGTTTAATAAACCTTCGTTTACTTTATTATTATTATATTGGTTGGTTATTATTTATATCGACGGTTAAGTGAAATTATCTGAATCAGCAGAACGTAATGATGGGTCGACCAAAAGTGAATGCTGTCCACGGCTATTTTGTTTATGACAGAATCGCGAGAACGTCCAAATGCTCAATTTGTAAAGTAGACGTGAAGGTAAGGGTACATAACGAATTATCATACATCGTACATCTCTGAATAACTATCCTAATAGCAAAATGTTAACAATTTGACGAGGTCAAATTGGCAAAAAACTTGATCAAATTTTGACTACAAAACTATAGACAGGTTCTGATTCTCTCATAGACATAGCATGTCTAGCAATTTTTGTCATATTTCTGACAATATCGGATAATACAAACTCTGTGCACAATTTGTTGCCTTTCTGCAATCAAAAATTGATGGCAGTCTCTGCTCAAAATCTATCTCCGCAAGCTTCGTTATCAAATATTAACAAATATGATTTGTACAGGGCAATCATGCGTCAAACCTGCTATCCCACCTCTCGAAAAATCACGGAAATACATATACTACCGTTGTGATGAAAAATGAACAATACAAGCGTGAGTCTTTCCAAGATACATCCTCCTGTTTTGATGATCCATCAGATGGAAGCCCTAGAAAACGCGCACGTGAAGAGCGAGTCGTACACGAATGTGTGAATCTTGTCACTGTGCATGGACGACCTTTTGCTCTGATGGATGATATAGCATTCAAGAACATTATTAAGATGATACCTCCAGGTTCTGGCACAAACAAAATTATTACCGTCAATGCTGCAAAAATAAAAAAAGCTGTCACTGAACGGGCACGATCCATTCGTGATATAATTGCCAAAGAAGTTGAAGGTAAATTAGTAAGCTTAAAAGTTGATTGCGCTACATGCATGGATCGCTCCTTTTTAGGTGTAAACTTACAGTACATATACAATAAGAAAATAGTGTTAAAAACTCTTGCCGTTGTGGAAATGACAGAACGTCATACAGCGGAAGCTCTTAAATTAGAAATATTGAGCATACTGAATATGTATGGTATATCTATCCATCAACTTTACACCATAACGACAGATAACGCGTCCAATATGCAAAAAATGATAAAATTGTTGGGTAGCCAGCAGCTCGTAGATATTATTCAAGAGGAGGATGTCACAGAACATTCTGATGAAGACGATGCGGATGCACACATGGTAACATGGAATGAATCAGATAATTTTTCTGATATTGTTTTGTCAGAACCGTATGAATTTTCCGCTGATGCGGAAGGTTCTTCTGACACGGAAATAAATGTAAGAAACTACACTGGTCATCCCGTAGCAATAAGTTCTCCTGAGTACAATGTACGGTCAATAAGCTGTGCGGCGCACACTTTACAGTTGGCCATAGGTGATGCTTTTAAAAGTTGTGCTCTGGGAGAAACAATTGAGAATGCACGTAAATTAGTGAAAAAATTACGAACGCCGACATTAAAGGGGATACTAAAAGCAATGAAGCGGCGTAAACCAATAATTGATTGCGTGACTCGATGGAACTCAACAGTTGATATGTTGGAGCGGTTACTGGAGTTCCGTGATATCTGCGAGACCAATGAAGAGCTTCATATGCCACAAGAAGCATGGACAGAGATTAAAAGTATTGTCCAAACTCTTACGCCATGCAGAGTAGCCACTAAAAATCTACAACGTGAACAGTTGACTTTCGGGGATTTATACAAAGAATGGACATGTTGTATCCTCCGCACACAAAAGTTTGGCACAACATTATCTGAAGCCTTAGTGCGAGCAATGAAAGCCCGAGAAAAGCAACTTTTTCAATCAGAACCATTTCTCGCAGGAATGTTCATGGATACCCGTTTTAGTGTATTATTATCCGCGCAGGAAACGACGAGAGCTATGATTTATATTCGAAAGATATGGCTTCATATACAGAGAGTGAGAAAAAACACAAGCGCCGATACAACATCTGATACAGCAGTTTCCGGTAATGAGGAATCGGATGCAGATGAAATGGAGATATTGCTCCGAAACGCGGAAAAGAAAAAAAGACGCCGTCGGAACAAATGCACAACTGTTATTGAAAACATTATCAATGCCCTTGAAACCCATGCAAAACATCCAAGGCTAAAGATCAAAGAAAGCATTTTGGAGTTTTGGGAAAACAAAAAATTAGCGATGCCAGAACTGTATGAGCTCTCAAAGATTATTTTAGCCGCTCCGGCTACACAGGTCAGAGTAGAACGTCTATTCTCCGCTTTAAAATTCATTCTATCCCCGCTAAGATCTAATCTTTCAAAAGAATTAGTTGATGACATTCTCGTAGTCCGTTGCAACCATTTCTAAAATTTTGCCACTATACAATTAAGATATCTAGGACAGAGGATATTAATATTCTATATTATAAACTACTTTCCAATTATATATTATAAACTATTACTTGAATTACTTCTATGTTATATGTTATAATTATTATTCTATGATATATATATATTCCTTGTTACGTTCTATTCTTATAAACATTTTAATAAAATTAATTTCGCTAAAAAATTGACTCATGTGTGACTGCTTCTACAAACTTGGCATTATAACGATATGGATATTAATATCGGTATTATAACGATATTATAACGGTATTTGATAACCGTAACAATATATGAGTACTGAAATTATTTCGGTATAGCCGATTACGATATTCCACTATTTCGGTATTCAGTTTTGTAACTGTAATAGCGTTACCGGTAAATCAAACGGTATTGGGTCTCTGCGGAATAGGTATTAAGTTCAGGATGTTCAATATGAAGGGCGCGATTCAGCACATAAATTGTGAGAAGTCGTTGAAGTTATAATTTAAGGGAGGAGAGGAAGAAGGCGGTATAGGTGGGAAGGGGGGGAGGGGGAGAGAGGGAACGAAGAGGTAGGATAGCCGAATCCGGGGGGAGAGAAGTTAGGAGTTCTACCGTTAGGTGTGAAAAGGTATGAATTGTGAATCTCATGTAGGGGATCACGAGGATTCATGGTTTTATGGGTCGTTGACTTGGAAATATTTACAGGTAAATCATGATGATGGGTACGAAAGGTGGGAGAGCAGGGCCGGAGACTTTGTATTTGAGTGGGTGTTGAGCTCTTGGAATTTTGAACCTAACCTAACCTAACCCTAAACTAACCTAAAATACACGTGAAATTGCCGCGTCAAGGGCTTTCTGCCATATTGGATTTGAGTTCAGCTAGTTAAGCTGCTCGCACACAGGTGTCAGTCGGGGCGGTCGGACGATGGAGAAGAAATCTTTCCGAAGCGCGGATTGGCTCACAATATTCGGCGATAGGCCTATTTGAAAATTCTCTAATTCTCGCGAAAATACTCAGAACATTGATAGCGTTTTCCACTGGCGCACTGAGTGCCAAAAGTTTCGTGTTCCACTGGTAATTTCATCGTCAAACACGTCAAAAGTGTAATTTGGAGTTATGTCTAAAATAAACAAATTAAATAAATTAGTATTTTGCTACCTAAAATAACAATAATATTTTTTTAAAATTCAGTTTGAATCGCGTACCGTCACTTTCCCATCGTTCGATTTGACGAATTTGATTTGAAGAATTTGAAATTTGACACTCAGTGCCCACTCAGTGCGCCAGTGGAAAACGCTATGAGTATTGAAAAGAATACATGTATACTTAATAAAATCTCCTACATAATTCATTACATTTTGTCACCTTAATAGGGTGTTGAAAACAACAGCCTATAACCGACTGGATGTTGAGTTCTCAACACCCTCAACACAATAGTCGCCGGCCCTGGTCGTAACGTTTATTTGGGAAATAATTTTTAGACGTTTAATTTTAGGTTAAATTAGTCGTGTG